TGAGCTCTGTGTGTGGTCACCAGGCTGTGGAGCCACTCCTGCCTACAAGCTCTTCTACGTCCAGGACATCCCTGCTCTTGGCGTAGGTGGAGGTGCCTTTTTAATTGCTTGCCCTAACGTTCATTCAGATAGTTTACTCTGATGTAGTTCTCGCTGCAGGCATCCCCTAACTCATGACATCCAGAAGCAGTTAGCAAATAAACTTACTATTTAATGTACAGGGTAGCTAGGGGTTTTGTGTAGTGTAAAAGGTGTGTTTGTGGCGTGTGGCACTTGCATTCAGTGAGCGGAGTTATGCTGTGATGTGCTCGTGGAGAAGGAATGGTCTTTATTTCGCTGTTTATTTCTTTATTATTAACTATTTCGGTCTTTATTTCTTTATTATTAACGAATCCCACATGCTGTAAAACAAACAAAATGGATTTCTCTTTTGTGCTTTCAGCGGTTCCTGACCATGCAGCCAAACTACAGCGACTCTCTCAAATCCACATACAGCAGCAGGTAGCGTGAGTCGTCTTGACAGCCTTAACTAGCAGGGAGGAGGAACCATTTGTTAGCGGCTGTACTGACAGCTCTGTATTTGCAATTGCTTGAATTGCTCATTTATAGCAGGTTTAGTTTTGCATCTCATCCAGGATATTCATGCTGCAGTTTTCCAGAAGTGTAAGTGCTTGGGGGGCAGGGTGTGGGGTGTAGGGTGTGGAAACCAGCCAGGATTTCTGACAATTGCGTCTGAACGGGAAAAGCGCTTTGCCTGCCATAAGCCTGTTCGAAATAGAGGTTTGAGTGACACTTAATACGCGGCAGTGGGTTTAACCAGCTAGCATTACTTTTTTATTTGCACTCTCTGGAAGGCTGTTGATACTGTCACCTTGCCTCTCCCACCTTTTCTTCCCCCTTTGAGCGCTCCTGGAGCTGGGGATGAGTAGCCTGGGCAGCACCTAATGCCCCCTTTCGGCATTTTGCTGTGAGTTTCCATTCTGGAGCAAGCAAAGCATGGATGCTGAGGAGAGGCAGGCAGTAGTGCAAGCCCCAGGGGCTTTGGTGCTTCATGAGCTTGGGTGTTTGTAACCTTTCTCTTGACTGTTGAAACACTTACAGCCGCAATGAGTGGCCACAGCCAGGGTCTGAGCTCTAATCTCAGTACTGGCCTTGGATGAGGTTCCCCCTGTGCTGTCAGGGACTGAGAAGACAGATATCCTTCAGCTGATTTATTGCTCGCTCACTGCGGCTCCCCTTTTCGCAGGAACAGCGTCAAGATCTCACTGACAGTGTCAAGATGCTTCTCGAAGACTACAACAAAATGGTATCCTTTGAGCTTTGGGCCTGACGCAGCTGAACTGCCCGCTTGTCTCCTGGGCTGCCTCACCCCACCAGCTATTGTTGGAAGCAGGCGATCCCCAGCCCTCGGTTTAATGGCCAGTGCCCTTTCTGTCGTGGTGACGCCTGTGTCCCCTGTCATACTCCTCTCGGGCGCAGAGCCGAGGGCCGGAACTCCCCATCTCTCCGAGATGGGAAGGGCAGGGTGCCACCTGTGAGCTGGAGCCTCTGCGCTGGATCCGCGCCCGGTGTGGCTGGGCAGGAAGGAGCAGCGCAGCCTGCGTGCTGGTGCAGAGCTGGCGCTGGCCGGCTGGATGTTGGCATCTCTGTCAGGTCCCTGCGACCTGCCTGAGCCAAACAGCGGCTAATCCTGGCCATGTAGGATCCCAGCGTTGAGACGCATCCTAAAGCCACAGCAGGTAGGGGAGCTCTGCTCTTTTCTGTAGAAAGCCCCTTGAAATGCAGTGCTACGCAGTGTTCAGAAGCGCCTCCTGGACTCCCATCGGTGTCTGGTGCTGTGCAGTGGCTCAGCACCCGGACGGTTTGAGTCCGTGCAGGCTTTCTACAGCCTGATGCCCTGGGCCTCTTCCTCTGCCAAGGAATCGGGATTGTAACGGTGCTGTTGGGCTGTCGGGGCGCTCTGACCTTGCTTTCTTCCCTGCAGTTTCCACATCTCTTTCCTTAAGAGTCACATCCAGACCCTGCTTCTCTCCAAGCAGTTTGTCCAGTGGAATGAAATACTGACGCAGCTGGAAATGGCCAAGGAAGCGAAACCTGTGGCAGAGTGATGGCAGAGCCCGGGAGCATGGAGAGCCCCGGGGACCCCTGCTGGCCTTGGGTCGCTCAGGAGAGGCTGCAGCACAGCTTGCGCTCTGTCGCCTCGGCATCTTCCCACTCAGCGTGAGCATGCTGCGACTGGTGCTGCAGGCTCTCGGGGGGCACCCTGGCTCCGCGGCCGCACTGTGTTAGCCCCAAATTGAAGCCACACTACTCCTTAATATGCCACTGTTTGCAGATCTTGCACTTCCCTGAAATACGTTTTGGTTTCTAACATATTTAAAAATCCCTTTCTGCTCTTACTGTGGACCGTAGTAAAGTCCTGAAACGCTGACCGGGTTGTCTCTTTCTCCCCTGAGCGCAGCCGTGGCGCAGACTGTCCCTCCCCACATGGTTTCCCTCGGGCAGCGAACTCGGGAAGCCTCGGGGCAGCCTGCAGGAGATTTCGGTGGCTGCTTCATCCTTGGGCCAAAGGCAGGTAACTGGCCGCCAGTCCCACGGCCTTCCCCGGGCTGCGGCACGCGCCCTTCCTGCTGTTTCTGCCTGTTCACGTGAGCTGTCTGCACGCAGGGGAATCTGGCCTGGCGGGGCTTTTCCCCCAGGCCCTTCTCCCATCCCTGCGCTGGGAGGAGGCAGCGACTCTTGCCTTCATCCTACCTCTGCTCACCCCAGCGGCTGCTGCGAGCCAGAGCCCGTGGCCGGCCCTCTCCCCTTCAGAGAGGGGCATGAGCTGCGCCCTTGCCTGGTCTGGCCGTAGCCTGGAGTTCCTCCTGGCGCAAAGGTGTTCCCGAGTTTGCGGTCATGCTTTTGGGAGGGTCCCAAACCCTCCTGCTTGGTGAGACGGATCAGCTGCGTCTGACCTGGGAACCCCCCAGGAAGGGGGCAGGATCCCAGCAGGCAAGTCCGGGGGAGCCTGGCCATCCCCGTACTCTCACCCGGTCAGCGAGCTCACCCCCGGGCACGCCGCGGCGGGGCTGCAAGCCTGCAGAAAGCCCCCCCCCCCCCCGCGGGCGCCGGGGGCGCCG